AACACTTCCACCATTTGGTCACATTGACTTTTCCCTGTTCTCTTTGAAGTCCCCGCTGCCATGTTTGTCCCTGTTCTTACTATGTCTTGGTAGGGTTTGCCAGGAGGGGGGCAGAGAGAGAGAATGGGAGAGAGAGAGAGAATGGGAGAGAGAGAGAGAGAATGGGAGAGAGAGAGAGAGAATGGGAGAGAGAGAGAGAATGGGAGAGAGAGAGAGAATGGGAGAGAGAGAGAGAATGGGAGAGAGAGAGAGAATGGGAGAGAGAGAGAGAATGGGAGAGAGAGAGAGAATGGGAGAGAGAGAGAGAATGGGAGAGAGAGAGAGAATGGGAGAGAGTGAGAGAATGGGAGAGAGTGAGAGAATGGGAGAGAGTGAGAGAATGGGAGAGAGTGAGAGAATGGGAGAGAGTGAGAGAATGGGAGAGAGTGAGAGAATGGGAGAGAGTGAGAGAATGGGAGAGAGTGAGAGAATGGGAGAGAGTGAGAGAATGGGAGAGAGTGAGAGAATGGGAGAGAGTGAGAGAATGGGAGAGAGTGAGAGAATGGGAGAGAGTGAGAGAATGGGAGAGAGTGAGAGAATGGGAGAGAGTGAGAGAATGGGAGAGAGTGAGAGAATGGGGGAGAGTGAGAGAATGGGGGAGAGTGAGAGAATGGGGGAGAGTGAGAGAGAGAGAATGGGAGAGAGAGAGAGAGGGAGAGAGAGAGAGAGAGAATGGGAGAGAGAGAGAGAGAGTGGAGAGAGAGAGAGAGAGAATGGGGGAGAGAGAGAGAGAGAGGGGGAGAGAGAGAGAGAGAATGGGAGAGAGAGAGAGAATGAGAGAGAGAATGGGAGAGAGAGAGAGAGAATGGGAGAGAGAGAGAGAGAATGGGAGAGAGAGAGAGAATGAGAGAGAGAATGGGGGAGAGAGAGAGAATGAGAAAGAGAGAGAATGGAAGAGAGAGAGAGAATGGGAGAGAGAGAGAGAATGGGAGAGAGAGAGAGAGAGAGAGGGATATTTTAGTTAAAATATCATCAATTATGTTTATTCCAGTCACTGGCATTTGCAGATTCCCATTGACGTCCCATTGCACCATCTTGCTTTCATCAAAATAATTCAACAGCGAAGTAGCATAATCATGATCTTTAGCTTTCAATTTTCAATGTACCAAATGTACTATTGAAGGATTAGCTCGTACTGAAACTGGTGATACTGGAGCAGTTGCTGGCAGGACAGGTGTTGGAGCTAGTGATGGCATTACTTCTGCTTTTTTTACTACTGCTACTTTAGCAGGTCCCTCATCGAAGGATTTACGAGGTACTAGATAATATTCTTTCATTTATTAAATAGCCTGGAAATTAAACTAGCTGCTATGGGTAATAATATACCGAGGATACTACCTCCTTTACGAGTCAATAAAATGCGCTTTTTGTTTGAAATTGAGGGTTTCTTGCAAGCCAGCGAATGCAAGGTGTGTCTGTATTTCTTTAATTTCACTATAACTTTCTTTTTAACCGGAAGCCTATATTTCAGAAATTTTTTGAAAATCTCTGACAAGCAATGAATATGAGGTTTTTTAAACTGAGCAATCAATTTTTTCCTGGCTGAGGAATTAAGTTTGCTCAGCAAGGTCACCAACTCTCTGTACTTGTATACTAATGGCTTCTTCATATCTTCAACAAATCATCAGCATCAATCCACTGATCAAATGAAGAGTCGTAGCCTTCGTACCTTACTTTATACTGTAATTTATTATTGGGTAATGTACGTTTACGTAGGACCTTCTCAATATTAAATGCAGCCGGTAAATGGGTTGGGGTTAATTCTTCCTTATAAAACCCTCCGTCAATAGGCTTGTTATTCAAATCTTGTAAAAAATATAATGGGATAGGCTGGCTTTTATCTATACGAATAATTCTGAAAATTTCTTCCTCCGTGTTTTGTCTAGCAAAACCTTTCTTGAATGTCGAAATTCTGTTGGAGAGAGTAATGCGAACTGTGTCCCCGACAGCTAGTAGAGAACTAAGACCTGCTTTAGGTTTGTCCTTACTTTTATACATGAGATTGAACTGTTTCTTTATATCTTGTGGACGAGATAAAGCATGAACGTCAACTGGAGTCCGACCACCTAACCCTCGGTGGGGTGTTGTGTTATACGCCTTTATGATATCAGGCAATATGGGCAGATATCTCGAGGTATTGTGCGCAGTCATATATTTATAAATCTTGGTTTTCATGGTACGTATAAAGCGTTCAGCGATAGCGGCTTTTGTTTCTTGAGAAAATACCCTGTACAGTTTAATATTTTTAGCTACTAACATTCGTTGCATATGAGAATTATAAAATTCACCCCCTCGATCTGTATTAATTTTACGTATTCCTTGGAAATATGAGGATTCCAATATATTTTTCAGAGCTTTACTCACAGTCTGTCCGTCTTTGCGTATCAGAGGTACTACTTGCGCATACCGTGAAAAAATATCGACACAGACGAGAATGTATTTAATATCATCATTATGTTTAGCTAATAATCCCATTTCAGCTAAATCACAAGCTAAATATATACAGGGTTTAGGACTCGCACCTTACGTCGCTGAAATTTGCGAGGTTTTAATGCGTGTAAAGTGTAAGCTTTAGACGATTTTAAGTATTCTCTGACATCTAATAGTTATATCTGGTTTTATGGTTTTAGCTGCTTTATACAACCTATCAACCCCTCCTGAGGATGCAGGGTTTTATAATAAATTTTATCTAGTACGTGCTCCATCTTCTAATAGTGATATCGGATTGTATGGTTTTAGTTGTTTTATACATCCGATATACTAACTCCCCTAACCTCCCCTTGTGGTTGTGGGGGACACATCCCATACACCCAACCCCCCTAACCTCCCCTTGTGGTTGTGGGGAACACATCCCATACACCCAACCCCCCTAACCTCCCCTTGTGGTTGTGGGGAACACATCCTATACACCCAACCCCCCTAACCTCCCCTTGTGGTTGTGGGGAACACATCCTATACACCCAACCCCCCTAACCTCCCCTTGTGGTTGTGGGGAACACATCCAATACACCCAACCTCCCCTAACACTCCCACCCAACCCCCCTAACCTCCCCTTGTGGTTGTGGGGAACACATCCTATACACCCAACCCCCCTAACCTCCCCTTGTGGTTGTGGGGAACACATCCTATACACCCAACCCCCCTAACCTCCCCTTGTGGTTGTGGGGAACACATCCTATACACCCAACCCCCTAACCTCCCCTTGTGGTTGTGGGGAACACATCCTATACACCCAACCCCCCTAACCTCCCCTTGTGGTTGTGGGGAACACATCCTATACACCCAACCCCCCCCCCTAACCTCCCCTTGTGGTTGTGGGGAACACATCCTATACACCCAACCCCCCTAACCTCCCCTTGTGGTTGTGGGGAACACATCCTATACACCCAACCCCCCTAACCTCCCCTTGTGGTTGTGGGGAACACATCCTATACACCCAACCCCCCTAACCTCCCCTTGTGGTTGTGGGGAACACATCCTATACACCCAACCCCCCTAACCTCCCCTTGTGGTTGTGGGGACACCCATACACCCCCCCCCTAACCTCCCCTTGTGGTTGTGGGGAACACATCCTATACACCCAACCCCCCTAACCTCCCCTTGTGGTTGTGGGGAACACATCCTATACACCCATACCCCCCCCCCCTACCTCCCCTTGTGGTTGTGGGGAACACATCCTATACACCCAACCCCCCTAACACACATCCTAACCCCCCCTAACCCCCCTAACCTCCCCTTGTGGTTGTGGGGAACACATCCCATACACCCAACCCCCTAACCTCCCCTTGTGGTTGTGGGGAACACATCCTATACACCCAACCCCCCTAACCTCCCCTTGTGGTTGTGGGGAACACATCCCATACACCCAACCCCCCTAACCTCCCCTTGTGGTTGTGGGGAACACATCCCATACACCCAACCCCCCTAACCTCCCCTTGTGGTTGTGGGGAACACATCCTATACACCCAACCCCCCTAACCTCCCCTTGTGGTTGTGGGGAACACATCCTATACACCCAACCCCCCTAACCTCCCCTTGTGGTTGTGGGGAACACATCCTATACACCCAACCCCCCTAACCTCCCCTTGTGGTTGTGGGGAACACATCCTATACACCCAACCCCCCTAACCCCCCTAACCTGTGGTTGTGGGGAACACATCCTATACACCCAACCCCCCTAACCTCCCCTTGTGGTTGTGGGGAACACATCCTATACACCCAACCCCCCTAACCTCCCCTTGTGGTTGTGGGGAACACATCCTATACACCCAACCCCCCTAACCTCCCCTTGTGGTGGGGAACACATCCTATACACCCAACCCCCCTAACCTCCCCTTGTGGTTGTGGGGAACACATCCTATACACCCAACCCCCCTAACCTCCCCTTGTGGTTGTGGGGAACACATCCTATACACCCAACCCCCCTTGAACCTCCCCTTGTGGTTGTGGGGAACACATCCTATACACCCAACCCCCCTAACCTCCCCTTGTGGTTGTGGGGAACACATCCTATACACCCAACCCCCCTAACTTCCCCTATACACCCAACCCCCCTTGTGGTTGTGGGGAACACATCCCATACACCCAACCCCCCTAACTTCCCCTTGTGGTTGTGGGGAACACATCCTATACACCCAACCCCCCTAACTTCCCCTTGTGGTTGTGGGGAACACATCCTATACACCCAACCCCCCTAACCTCCCCTTGTGGTTGTGGGGAACACATCCCATACACCCAACCCCCCTAACCTCCCCTTGTGGTTGTGGGGAACACATCCTATACACCCAACCCCCCTAACCTCCCCTTGTGGTTGTGGGGAACACATCCCATACACCCAACCCCCCTAACCTCCCCTTGTGGTTGTGGGGAACACATCCCATACACCCAACCCCCCTAACCTCCCCTTGTGGTTGTTGTTTAGTACGTTCACCATTGGTAAACAATTTCGTATGGATGCTCACCAACAATATTGCTACGGAAGGTGATGCGTTCAGGGGTTTTCACTCCTAAATCCACCCATAAATATCCATAAGGTTTACTGATGGCTTTCTTGTAGATATCCAAAAGCTTTTTAGAATCTTGTTTTCCAAATAATTGCCGCCCTAAAGTTTCAATTTGAGCTAAATCTCTAGATTTTACTAATATGAAATGGGAGGCATTTAAACTAATACTTCTAGCCTATTTCCCAGATAAAAATATATTTTGGGTAATTAATATACACGAAATAGCAAGATGTCTGCCTTTAGTGAAGATATCACACAATTTTGGAATTGGCAGATTCGATGAACAAGTCATCAATAATGATTAAAATAGGTGAGTCGTCTGTACATTCATCTAAAGGGTTAATAATTTCAGGATGAGCTATTATTTTCTTGTTAATTACTGGATCGTCTAGCAATGCTTTGTAACTGCCCCCACATATACTGGAGAATTTCAGATGGTATTTTTGTACGAGTTTAGTGTACAAATGAGATTTTCCGCCATTGGAAAATCCTGCAATAATTATTCTGCTAGGTTGATTGAAAATATCGAGTTGTTCTTCAGTGATAGGTGAACTATGCATGGCTTGTGTTGGGTTTGCACTGACATAAGTATGATAAGGACATTATATTTAAACATGGGAGGTTTCATAAAAACATCAAAGTAAACATTTCATATTTTTTATTTTTGCATAGAACATTTTCAAAACATAGGTTAGGGGTAGGTTTTATAAAAACATCAAAGTGTACATTTCACAAACTTTTATTTTTTATGTACAACAGAACATTTTCAACATAGGTTAGGGGAGGTTGCAATTTTCAAACACGAAAGATAGGTTTGGGTTGGTTGCAATATTCCATCGCCAATTTCTTCAGTCACTAATTGGGAGGATACGTCTTGTTCACCAGTGCATTGTTCACCAGTGCATCGCGTTTTCCCCACATATTGAATATGGGATGGAATCCATGTCTCACAGGACGTGCAGCAGCAGCAGGTACATCTACTCCTCATTCTCTTCTTCATGAATTTCTGCTCGAGGTATATCGGGGTGTCCATACGCCAAACACTGTGTAGGGCTCAGTACATAACGTTTATCGTCAAAGGCGGACAATCCACGTTTTGTAGTGAGACAGGTACACATACGGCCTTTAACATTCCTAATAGATCTGGATTGGAACCTCTGCCCAATATTTAACTCTAAAGCACTTCGGAAAGCTGCATGAGTAAGTTTAGACTGATGATAAGTGGGAATTAAGTTTGCTCAGCAAGGTCACCAACTCTCTGTACTTGTATACTAATGGCTTCTTCATATCTTCAACAATCATATCTTCAACTCATCACAATCGACTTGAGAATGGTCCAGGACGGACCGAAACGTCGTCGTCCCTTCAATTTCTAGTGTGTGGTCTGGTCAACATAAGTGGGAATTCCTTTACAACGACATATCTGAACCTGATCTTGAGTGAGAATTGAGTACATTTTAGGCTTTAATGCTATGAGTTCCTTGATAATTTTAGCTCCAAATTCCGATTTTAACAAACCCAGTTGACCTTTGCGAGTCATCGAAATAGGGATTTTCAGGGGGGAAATTACTGAAATCCATATGCTGAGACAAAGGCAGTTTATTTAATTCCTCAAAAGCATTTGGACAGGTCAATTCAATCAAATACGAATCTGTATCCGTATACAGCAATCTAACTTTGTCTTCATAATGAACTTTGACGGTGTTGTACCAAAAATCATATAGGATCCTCTTAGCTATCTGCAGGATCTGGAACCCCAAATAAGTTGGTGTATTGTATATTAGCATAAGTGATTGTTTCTTAACCGTGCAAATGACTGTCTTCGCTCAACAAAATGCACCGTTTGAAGAACGGATTACGTGCAAGCTTTTGGAATTTGTCACGAGATGTAACTAAATAATGCTGATCACAATATTTACTCACATTTGTCAAACTCTTGCCGTAAATTGCATTTGATACCAGCTTGAAAGCTTTACCCTTAATGGCGCAAGGTGTATTCGAACGTTCACGAGCATTTGTTTCGACAAATTCCTTAAGGTACTTGTTTTGTTGGAATTCATAAACTGCATTTACCTTAGCTACTTCTAATCCCAATTTCATCAGCATCTGAAGCAAATCTAAACTGACCAAGTAATCTTTTTGGGGGAGATGTGCGGCAATTAATTTGTTTTTCTTGGGGAGTTTGCGATCTTCTGTATTTAAAATGTGTTTGCTATAATCGGACAGAATATCAGTAGAAATATTAGCATGTGACAGGGTTAAGGGCAAATCATCGGTGTCTCGAGCCACCTCAGGTGATACATACTTGGTATCACACATGACCCAATATCCCTTATCCCCATCACATGCAATATTTCCCAATCCTTGTTGGAGCCAATCATTGCATTCGGCAGCAGATAATTTACGGATCCCGCCTTGAGGAAGCAGTTCTGTCATACAGGTGGCGTATAGGCCATTAAAATCTAAATACAGAATATATTTATCAGTGCTAGAAGGATCAGCACCCGTATGCTCATTTTCTACACGTGTGTGTTGCTGCACAACAGAGGTAAATCCGCCTCTTAGATTTCTGCGCAATACATCGTACAAATGGGGATCAGAAATAGTCCAAGACAACTTGACTCTTAAACAAGAAAGCGTCCCATGCAAAACCAGATAACGAGACATAGTGTGTAATGTCTAACTTGTACAGCTCAAGCATGGTCTTGCGCCATACAGTAAACACATCACACAATAGTCCAGTATCTACTTTTAAATAGACCTTCAAGTAATCCCCAATGGTCTTGCATTCCGCTAATCTGAAGACTTCTTTAGCCTGTGTATAATCGGTCTCGCTTATGGCCTCGTGTTTTAAACTATTGAAAAAGGCTTCGGGAGGAGAACGAGCCGGTTCATTTAATTTCTCCATAGATGAAATATAATCATAACAGAATACCTGTTTACCTGTCTTTAATAAATGGTGGGCGGCTACAGGGACGTCATCTAGCATAACTGAGGTGTAAGTGGTGGGTTTACCTTCCTTGATATGTTCTTTAGCTAGTTTTTCCAGCCCACCATTTAGTAAAGCCAGACTATCCATAAACCGAAGTTTACCGATATCTACTTTCATGAACTTAAATCCATCTTTGGAGGCAATATCAATTTCACGGTTAGGGAGGTTAGACAATTCATTTAAAATTACCCCGAGGTCATAAGTTGCATTGTGAGACAATGTGTATAAATATTTATATGAATTTCTGCACAACATGTTGCACCTACGACAATAGGCAGCTAGATAATTATTAAATTCAATAGCATGATCATGATGACGGTGCTTGTCTTTAGCTGATTTGAATGGCCTATAACACATTTCACATGTGGTCTGATGTTTATAAGCTTGCCAATGTGCACGTGTCATAGATATTTTGTATTTAGGCATGGTAGATTTAATTCTCTTCTATGACTTCTCCAAAGTATCTATGAAATGATTCACAGGGTCATCCCCCATATACGTTAATTTCTCTACCACCTCCAATTTTTTAATAACAAATATAAATTTAATATAGGAGTGTTCATAAAAATAAATAATGCAAGGTTATGGGAATAATCTTTGAGGATGTTACAACGATTTGGACTGTTCCTGCTGTTATCTTCAAATGGCGGTGCATGAGCTTAACTAGTGCTAGGCTCATCCCCTCCTCCTCCACAAGGATATTCCTCCACTAGCTGCCCAACTAATGGCCTTAAAAATATGAAATTATATTATTATACATAAACAAAATAGTAAATTAGTAATGTCAGTATTGTAGCTGTCAAATAATGGGTAAATAGTGTCAGAAAAATAAGAGAACTCGCTTTTAGATTTTACACTTTGAGGCGGAGAAGCTGTTATATCCTCAGAACCTGAACTGGTTGAAGACTCTGTATCCTCATCCTCCAAATACAGACAAACTGGACACGATTCAGGAATACATCCTGTAGATAAAAAAAAAATAATTTGAGAATTCTATATAATGTATGTGAATAAAAATGATTGCTATTACTGGTAAGTAAATGTCACAAGTAATAATAATAATATCAATAAGAATAATAATAATACTTATGATTGGCACAAAACACTTTGGAACAGTTGATGCAGACCTAGTCATAATGTTCTTCTTTAGTAAATACAGATATAAAATATTTGTTAAAAATACTACTCCTCTCCTTGTCATTATCCGTTATTTGACCTGTCTCAGATTTTAATGGACCTATTCTTTCCCTAGTCTTAGTTCGATATAACTGAAAAAACCCTTTAGGATTTGACTTTGCTTGCTCTGCTATGCGAACTTCATAGTTTCTTTTTGCTTTCCTAATCTCTTTTTTAACATTTCTAACCAGTTGTATGAATTCCTGTTCTAACCTGACTTCCCCATTCTTAATCCTTTTGTACCAAGCTCTCTTTTTACCTATAAGGTTCTTTAAATTATTTGTTATCCACTTTGGGTTATTAGTATTCGACCTATTCAATTTGTATGGTATACTACTTCCTGTGCTTTGTTTAGAATATTCTTAAATAAGTTATATATTAAATCCACATCGAAATCCCCTTTTACGTCACCTATCGCTGGGTTCATGTCTCGCTCTAAGACCGGCCCACACCCCATACCCAAGAGTTTCCAATCCATTTGACCCAAAAAAATTCTTAGGCTATTAAAATCAGCTTTTCGAAAATCTGGCACTTTAACAGAATTTTCTCTTACAGGTCTATTCCATTCTATGCTAAATCTATGCTAAATCTAAATTCCCCCCTTGTCCTCGAGGGGCGAGGACCCCCCTCGTCCTCGCCTCTCAAGTTGACCCCACCCGGAGCCAGCCTCCCAAGACTGACCCCAGGGTGGGGGAGTGTGGTCCTCCTCGAGGCCGCCTCGTCATGGGCGACCTCGGTACAGCCGTCGTTGCCTGGAGCGTCACGGGTCAGCCTCACAGCGCTGACCCTCTGGTGCACGTTCCTGGAGCCGACTCTCACAGGCGCCGGCTTCCCAAGGTGGACCTCGGGGCCGGCGGGCATCGTCATCCATGAAGCCGATTCATCCAGGTCGATCACTAGGCAGTAATCATCACTGGAGTCGTCGAACTCCAATCCCACATCACTGATCCTTGGGCTGGGGTCCGGGCAGGCAGTCGTCCTCGAGTCAAGCGTCCCCTAGGAATAGGTAGGGAAGCCGGGGTCCATCATCAACGCTGAGGCCGACTCGACAACGTCGACCTCGGGACTTGCTGTCGTCGTCGGGACATTTCGCGGGCGGCTGGGGTGGTTTGAATTGTGGTGGTTTGCACAGTTGTAGCTTTGGGCAGCGTCCTGGACTGCTGCCTGCAGAGCTTGGGAATCTTCCACCCTCCAAGCTGGCAGCACCGAGCGCCGTCGTGAATCCATCAAAAGAGATGGTATCACGAGGCAGTGTCGGCGACAGAGACGGACATTGATTGTGTTGCCCCATTAACTCCGTTAAGGGCGTGCGGTCGGCAGCACAATCAATGTGATCACAGGCTATGTCCGTCCTCCATCACCTGGCACAGGGCACAAGTGTGGAGGGAGACAGAGTCTATGGTCTCCCCTTCAGGCGACTGGCCCCAGACAGGCCAGCCCCTGAAGGTTGACAGCAAGCACGGGGTCCTTGCTGTCTCGCCAGCCAGCTAGGTAAAGTGTTAGGAGCTTGCTCCCCCTTTACCAGGGAGTGGTCCTGGGCAACTGAGCGAACCCAGAATGATCAGAATGCACCACTAGGTGGCTGCACGGTCGGTGATGTTGGAAGCGTGCTCACTGATTGGTCCGGTCCTTTAACTCCTTCTAGCTCGGAAGCGAAGGGCATGTGGACATTTTTATTCTTACAATCTATGTAAGAATAAAATGAGTTTCCCTCCAAACTCCTTGTGCCTTGTACAAGGCGGGAGCTCAGAAAAACGCAATTTATTGGGTTCCCCACCGAGCGACTGGCCCGGGACAAGCGAGTCGTTGGTGGTGGACAGCAAGCACGGGAGCCTCACCGGCGGAAGCGGTTGGGCGGCGCAGCGATCCAATCCCCTCCCCCTGCAGGCAGTTTTAAGACTACCAGGCTAGCTAAAATGTAGAATATACTACTTTAACTCTTTTCGGGCGTGCGGACAGTAGTACAGTACTTATTTTTTATTAAAGAATGTTTACAGGGTTTTACAAATACCTTGTGTCTTCACAAGGGTGCATAGATATATATTGTGCAGTTTACATACATAATATGGTTGATATGGTACACTGGTTGATATGAGTTTACATAGATTTATAATATTCATTGGTTTATTTGAGTTTATATAGTTTACAATATACATTGGTTCACATGGGTTATTATTTTATCTTTATTTTCATAAGATACAAAGGTATACATTATACAGTTTACATAGAATATAATATACATAGATTATAATATACATAGGTATACATAGATTACAATATGCATTGATTAACAAGGGTTATTATTTTATCTTTATTTACATAGTTTCTTTACTCATATTATACTTAGTTACATATTGTCTGCCATTAAAAAACTCAAACAGATGTGTTATATAAATGTCTGAAATGAGGAAAAGGTACAGACATGTAAATTAGTATTGACGGACACGGGTGATGTGCTCTATGTACATCATTCGCGACCACCGGATGGTGTCGCTCACGCACATCCTCCTGAATAGTCTCTGGTATTTTCTTGACGCCAGCCTGTTCATTGGCTTATCGTTCTTTGGGTCATACGAGCCGAGCGATCCGACGATAAAGGCGTGGACTGTGAATTGCCTGTAGGTCCGTCTCATTGATGCTGCTAGCTCAGCGTATTTCTCTTCCTTTCCCAGTCTCGTCTCCTCAAAGGCGTCTGGGTCATTTTCGAAGGGGCAAGTGACGTCGATCAGCAGTACTTCCCCGTTCTTTTCTAGGACGATGTCAGGTCTTAGTGTTATTCGTTCCCGGGACTTGCTGGTTTTCAGATAGTACTTTCCAGTGCCTGCCCCCTCCCCTTCCGGCCCGTTGGCGTCGTGAGGGGGCTTGGTGGACGGCTGCCGGAGTGTGATGCTCCATTGGGCAGTCCTCTGTCCTTTTTTTTGGCCTTGCACTCCTGCTGCTGTCTTCTCCAATTGTGCCGGATCGCTTTTCCTTTTCCTTATGTTTCGTTTTTCTCCCCCCTCTTCTCCTATCTGCTTGTCGTTTCCTGCCGACCTTTTGCTTGTTTTGGATTATTTCTTTGGACTTCTTCTATTTTGACGCCCGGGTGCTTGAGGAGGCATACTCTTGCACCCGTAGAACTGTAGTACCCGACGTCTCGAGCGAGGGGAACCTTTTATTGTCAATCCCCCTTTCGTCGCTGAACCCGATCTCGACGGACTGACGGTTCTTAAGGTGGCGTTTGTGGGGCGTATACTCACGACGCACCCCTAGGGGGCCCCGGCATGATCGGCGATAGCTTCCTGTTGGGTGTCCTGCCTCTAATTGTGGCTCCATGGTGGGTTTGGGGGCACATTCGTGGATGAATTTGTTACTTTTCGTCTCTATGTCGTTGAATGTTTCCGTTGTACCCTCTCAGGCTCGTGGGGTGGGCGACCAAGCCCCCGAGTCGGCCTGTATTGGAAGACCAGGCTCTGTAGCTCCCGCTGCGTTGGGCCCCGACCTTGCTCCTCCTTTGACCGTCCTGTCTTCTTCCCCCAGCTCCCCTCCCTCCTCTGAGGTTGGGTCGAGCCTCCAGCCCCCGGTGGTGACCACTTCGTCCCCTGGTGTGGCTAAGTCTTTCGTTGTGACTACTGCGCCTTTTGACCCCTCTCTCTCTAGGGGTTCTCAACGCCGTTCGCGCCCCAACCGCACTCGCTCGATTCCTTCCCGTGCTGATGCGTATCAGGCCTTGTTTGGTCCTGCTTCATGGGCCAAATACTTTGATCTCCTCCCTCTTGATTCTGCGCCTCCTGACGATTTCTCCCTCCATCGGCATCTTGTAGATTCCGTGGATGCGTGTGTTACTTTCAACCCCACTCGTCTCGGTACACGTGTCGTTGCTGCTCCTTCTCAGGATGCGGCTTCCCGCTTGGCTGCCTTATCTTGCCTTGGCGAGATCCCTGTTCGGGTCTCCAAGAATGTTCAGATGAATTCCAGTGTTGGCACTATTCTCCTCCCACCCCATGTTGCAACCGGTGTTCGGAATCTGCAGGATTGCCACGATGATATTCGGCATATCCTTGATGCCCAAGGCCATTCTGTCCTCCAGGTTGACTCGTTTACCCGTCCCCCTCGTGGTCGTCGCCGTCAACCCCTTCGCGTTGTGAAGATCACCTTTGATGGTAGGACCCTTCCATCCTCTGTCATTCTTGCTGGTGCTAGGTGCTCTGTCCAGGAGTATATTCCTTCTCCTCGACTTTGTAATAAGTGCTGGAGGTTTGGGCATGGTGCCCTCCGCTGCTCTGGGACTGTCTCTCTCTGTCCTTTGTGTGGGAGTGAAGGTCACTCTAAGTCGGAGTGCACTTCTCCCCAAGCTCGCTGCCTCAACTGCGGTGAAGCCCATCCTACCTTCTCCCGTGCGTGTGTCCATTACAAGCTTGAGGCAGCCGTCCTCAACCTGAAGCACCGGGAGCGTTTATCTTTTCCTGAGGCGAGGCGCCAGGTTCGCCGGCTCCCGCCTTATACTAATATCTCTTATGCTCGCGTGTTGCGCTCTTCCTCTCCTCGTCCTTCCCGCCTTCCTCAGACTCACAACCGTTTCCGGGCCTTGGACCCTGATGCGCCCACTGCCCCCTCCTCTGTTCCTTTGGGTTCTCTCCCGAAGGATCCTCCTCCTGGTCCTCTGTCTGGGGTTCCCCTTCCTTCTACCCGGTCTGTCGTGTCTTCTGTGTCTTCTTCCTCGTCCCCCTCCGATCCTCCTTCCCATCCTCTTCCTCCATCTATTGGCTCTCCCCACCGCCTGTCGGTGCGGGCGGATGTCCATCGCTCTCCTAGCGGCCGTCGTGTGTGCTCTCGTTCGGCTTCTCCTGTTGAGACACTGGAATCCGTTGCCCGGTACGTGGTTGCTGGGACACCGATCTCTTTAAGTCAGAAGCGTAAGCCTGGCTCCTCTCCTTCCTCTTCCCCGGCGGGTAAGAAGGCTTCGCTTTCTTTCTCAGCTCCTTCTGGCTCTGTTGCTCCTTCCCCTCCCGTTTCAGTGCTTGCGCCCCCTGTTCCTGCTATGGAGGTTTCTTTGGCCCCTGCTTCCCTTTCGGTTGCTGCTCTTGCTGGGGTGCGCTCCCCTCTTTCTACTCCCCCTCCTCCTGCTGCTGTCCTTGACGGCTCCTCTCCGTTGTCTCCTCCTCTTCCTCCTCCTCCTCCAGACCCTGCCCGCCCACCTCTGCTCTGTTCTCCCGTTTCCTTCCCTCCGTCTTTGCTCAGTTTACCCATGCCCCCTAACCCTGACTTTGCTGACCCTGATCCCGACCCTGATATTCTTTAACGTGCTCTGTTGCTCTTTCGCCTTTGTTTCTTCCTTGTTCTCTGTTTTTGTCCTTTCTCTTCTCGTCGTTGTCCATTCTTCAATGGAACGTTCGAGGTTATTACGCCAATTTCCTCGAACTCCAACTTCTGATTTCGCGGTTTTCGCCCCTTTGTGTCTGCCTCCAGGAGCCAATGCTTGGTGCTCGTCCTGGTCGTTTTCGTGGCTATTCCTTTCTCTCCCCTCCCCCAGCCATTGCTGGGGCTTCTAATTCTTCTGCTCTTTTGATTCGGGCTGATGTTCCCTTTGTTCCTTTACTTTTTCCTTCGCCTCTCCATTGTTCTGCTGCTCGTATCTTTGTGGGGAAATGGTACACAGTTTGTTCCATTTATCTCCCCCCGAGTGTCCCGCTCTCTCTTCCTGATTTGAAACACCTCCTGGACTCCTTGCCGGAGCCTGTGCTCCTGCTGGGTGACTTCAATTGTCGTCATTCTCTTTGGGGTGACGTTCTGACGAATACCCGGGGTCGCCTCCTTGAGCCGTTTCTCCTCTCTTCTTCCCTGTCTCTTCTGAATTCTGGTGAGCCCACTCATTTGGACTCTCGGACTCGC